AACACCTGATGAAAATTTTACTAAACAATAGGCAATTTGACGTCTGACTTTTTTGCGCATATATATATATATATATATATATATATATATATATATATATATATATATATATATATATATATATATATATATATATATATATATATATTTAAATCATGTAATCAAATATTTTAAAGCAAGTTATTTTAAAGATATTTAGATACATACTAATACTTATTTACTAGTAATAATACTAATCTTTAGTAAACATCTAAAACGCTGATTTTTTTATTTATATTTTTTATTAATAACAATATTAATAAGAATAATAAGAATTATAATAATACAAACAATAATTACAAAAATAAAAAAAATAATAATGAGAGCAATAGTAATAATAATAAAAATAATTGCAATAATAACAACAATAGTTACAACAATAAAAAAGTTTAAAGGTGTCAAGTTGAAGATGGGTAAAGTTTCAAAATTTAATCACTTCATTAATGAATTTTTAATCAATTTCAAAAATTAATTGAAGAGAATCTTTTCTCTTCCTCCAAAACTTCATCAAAAGTATTATAAAACAAGCCAAAATGCTTTTTACAACCATTTGCAAACTTGTTTATGTTATTTATATGACAAAAGTGTCTTTTGTGGTCATACTGCTCATAAATTGTTACATGACAAAGAAAAAAATTTAAGTAAGGGAAAATATGAAAATTTGATGAAAGGTTTGCAAATTTTTGATAAACCACAAAGATTTGCAGAATAAGATCCATGCTTTGGTGACAGCAAAATTAGACAATTGAACAATGAATTGACTTTTACAATTTTTGTAAAAGTAAAATAGTTAAATAGTATTTTTTTGTCACTACAAATCTTGTAATTTTACTGGAATTAATTTTCTCTGAATAATTTTCTTTTGAAAACAATATTTAATTTACCTCTAAGCTATAAATATCATGTTTGATTCTACAATAGAATGCAAGTGCAATCCTTTTTTTGTATGAAATTTTTTCTGCAAACCTTATTAATAATTGAAACTGTGTCGAGTTTAAACTTTATTTTTTTAGTAGGTCTATCATTAAATAAACATAATACAAGGGATTATGTAATCAGTGTATTTGATAAGAGAATATGTAATACAATGTTTTAGAAAAGAATGTTGGAATGCTAATTTTAGGAGTTGTTAGATTCTCATGCTATTCAATAAAATTGAAATATTTTAAAAGATATTTTGGAAAAAAAATTTTTAACTTAATTAAAATTGGTACACAAATATTTATATTTACGTAAATAGTTTTAATATACTTACCATTATTTTTTGATTGGGATATTAAATTCAAGTCTTATTTTATGGTGACTCTTCTCGTAAGACTGACCATTGGTTATCGTTTTTATTATAAGCATTTATAATCTCTTATTTGATCTAAGCAAAAAATGAAATCTATAAAATTTTAAGCAAAATTTGTATAACTGTTTAAAGTTGACTTGTTATAATGGTTCAAAATATTTGTTATCAATACTAAATTTTTATTAATATTATTAGAGACCAGTCATATGTTTGGCATAATATGATAATAGAATTAGAAAAAAAACTGAATTTTGCTATATTTTTATTACGTTTTCTAGACATTTTTATTATGACACTTTTTTATTCAGATCCCCCTCCTGACAATGTTTTATTGAAGATTAAAATTAAGTATTTTTATTAGGATACTATGACTAAGAACTTTTACTATGATTCTATGACTCTTTACTGCAGCTCAGAAGCCTATGTATGTATGTATATATATATATATATATATATATATATATATATATATATATATATATATATATATATATATATATATATATATATATATATATATATATATATATATATCTTTACTTCAAACAAGTTGGAAGCTACATGAAAAGAAAAGATGAAGTTTATAAAGCATGATAATGATTAACAGGCGACTTAAAAAATTGCAAGTTATATGAATCAGGAAAACAAGAAAGGAGAAAACTCAGAAGAACTGATATTTGATGAAAAAATTAGACAGATAAGATTTTTTGGAGCACTAAGGAACAGTCACAGTAAAATAATGAGACTTAATTGTAAATAATTAATTTCCTGCCTAGACTCTTCTACAGCTTGTGGTCCAAACAATAGGGTGGCCATTTAAACAAATTTTTTCTTTAATGTCTGCTCCCACCTCTAAATGTGTTATATATAATAAAATAATACTGGAATTAAAAAGTTTAAAAAATATATATAAATTTAGGAGTCAAGACCTTTAAACATCAGACAGATCCTTACAATTATTATAACAAAAGTTTTTTGTCCTATAACAGGGACTAACATACCTGTTATAGTCTTGCAGAAGACTATAACAGGTATGTTTGTCCCTACCGAACAACATACCTGTTATAGTCTTGGAGAAGTGTTCTCCAGAGCTGTTCTCTATACTTTTAAAACTATTTAACAAGTGCTTATCAGAGTCTTGTTTTTTAGCCTGCTGAAAAGCGACATCTGTTATCCCTATTTTCAAAAATTCTGGAAAGTGATCTGACTTGTCTAACTACCATTAGTCTCTTTACAATCATAGGCAAAGTTTTTGAGTCTAACAAACACTAAATCTCTCATTTTAAATCTAATACCTTTCTGATCATCAATATGGATTTCAATCTTCTCATTCTAGAGCCGATTTGTTGACAGAAATAATAAAGAAATTTAATTAAGTTCGGCATGCTAGTATTCTCCATAATTTAATTCTTACATTAGGTAACATCTTAAAGATTATTGAATCCTTCCTTTCCAATTGTAGTATAAAAGTTGTCCTCGATGGACATTACTCTTCTTCATTTTCTGTAACTTCAGGGATTCCTGAAGGTTCTATTCTTGGCCCTATACTCTTTTTAATTTACATTAATAATCTTTCAGAAATTTTCATATTTTAGGTGGCATTGTTTGCTGATTATACTACTATTTATTCTTGTTTTGATAAGAAGCCAACACTCTCTGATTGCTTGGAGGAGGCATTTGAGCTTGAAAAGAATCTCACTTCTGCTACAGCATGGGGTTCTCAGTGGCGCAATAATCTATATTTATTAACAGTAATGTACTTGATGAGTCATCTACTCTTCATTTTCTCAGAATAACTCTGGTCTTTCTTGGAAATCATATATCAAATCAATTGCAAAATTAGCATCTGCTAAGGTTGCATCCAATTCTAATAGTAGTTGTTTGCAGCCTTGTTAGAATCAAAGATGTTGAAAGAAAAAAAAAAGTTTATGTTTGGAGGACTCATGAAAAAAAACTGCATATTCAGGTTGATTGCTATTTTGCTATCATTATTTGCTTTGCAAAAAATTATGTTTGATTGCCAAGATGAGACATCTGATCATCATGGGTCGATGTTTTGGTTGAAGGTTAAGCAACAGATTTATCTTCCTTTATCTTCCCTTTAGTTTCCTGAAGTTGTTTTGCAATAGGCGGCAATCTGAGCTGAATGCCTGGTGTCTGAAAACTTGTAAAGCAAGATTTTTCGTCTAGCGAGGCTAAGCAGAAAACTAAAAGATCTTAAATTTTTATTTATTTATTTATTACAATAATCGATGAAACTTATACATAAAAAGTTTAATATTGATGAAGGAATTTAACACCAGGTTTTTAAATGCTTGACAGTTGACATTACTGCAGTCGAAATATCATCATAAAAATACTTTTAAAAGATTTTGCTGTTGGTACATCAATTAGGTCATGTGCTAATTTATTCCAAAGGTTTTCAACATGGTTTTTTAAAAAGTTGGGGTTTTAAACAGGTCATTTTTAATTAAGTATATGCTGAGTTTAATGAGTAAGCATAAACACACCAATATTTTTAACTTGGTTTTAAACATTTCTTCAACAGCAGTTTTTTGTGACAAGAGCTGATGGTTATGTGTATATATATATATTTATTGTTAAATGTTTAACATAATTATGTTTTATATAATTTTTTAAATTTAAGGAAATTTAAAAAGGTTTTTTCAAGTTGTTTAGTTTTTATTATAAATTAATATAAAATAATAATATATACTTATTCTTACATAAAATAAGTTCAATTTTTATATAACTATTTTTATAAATTTATATATTTTCATCTTCTCAGAAGAAAAAAATCTGTTTAATGAAAACTTAGCGCCTTGGAAGCCTTGGAATTTTGTTGAATTGTAAGAAAGATTTTTTAAAGTTGAATGCTTTCATAATGAATCTGCAATACATAAACAAAAACTTTGTCATCATTGAATCTAAGCAAAAATGCAATAAAGATTCAAACCTTTTTAATCATATGAAAAATTAAATCAAAAGTATCTTTTACAAATATCAAACTATATTTTAATTGTATATATATATATATATATATATATATATATATATATATATATATATATATATATATATATATATATATTGAATCTTATACTTTATCTCAGAAATTAGGTTATAGAACAAAGTAAAATCTCTATTTCATAGATCTGATCTTATTACCTCTTTTTTCATTTTAAAAAAGTTTTTAATGTTTATAATATTTTAATCAGGTTTTTGATGTTTGAAAGTTAGTTTAATTTTTTTTTTAATTATTTTAATACAGTTCATCAAAACCAATAATACTAGTAAAAAAAAAGTAAGGAAAAAAAAAAAAAAAAGTAAGAGTAAGAGAAAAAGTAAAAACCAATGCAATGCAATGTTCCTAAGAATTTACCCTGGAAGTCTCATGAGAGCAATTTTCCTAAGAATTTACCCTGGAAGTCTCATGAGAGCAATTTTCCTAAGAATTTACCCTGGAAGTCTCATGAGAGCAATTTTCCTAAGAATTTACCCTGGAAGTCTCATGAGAGCAATGTTATTAAGAATTTACCCTAGTCTCAGTAGTGCAATGTTACTAAAAAATTTTTCAGGACATTCTTTGTTTTGAAAAATTTTTTAAAGGTTGAAAAAACAACTTATGAAGTTGTTTTTTCAACTTTTTTTTTTTTTTTTCTTATAGAGGAAAGTTAATTTTTTTTGTGACATTTTATACGACTGTGTGCTCAAAGATAAATTGGATATTCTCAGCGATTACATTTCAATTGAAGAGGTAATAGTTTTATGATTTTTTTGTTTTTTAATTGAAGTTTAAATATAAATACTTTTAAAAATGGTAAAGTTGGCAGAGTTGTTTTATTGTATTAATAAATAAAAAAAGTTTAAAAATAAGATTTTATATTTTAATAATCTTTAAAAAACTGCTTTATTCTTTTAATATTTTTAGACATTAGAAAATTTTGAAGCTGGTAAACAATGCAATGAAAATATAAAACAGTTAAATCTGTTATTACTTTATTACGAAAAAATTCATCCAAAACTTCAAAAAAGGGGTTTAGTGCAGGTGTTAGTTTTAACAATTTGCAGTTGTTGCTTTTTTTTTTTACTTCTAATGAAAATAAATTACGTGGTTTACATGAAGTTAGCCTTTTATGCCACAAGTTAGCTAATATAAATAAAAATTTTAGGAATTGTTTCAAAATTGTTTATTTTCATTTTTGAAATAATCCTTTAGGAACCACTGATAAACTCAATATACATGATGCAAGCATCTTATAGGCTACAAAAAATACAACAGAGTATGTTTGTTTGTTTTTTTCGTTGTTGCATGGATAGTTACTAAAGTAGGAGAGTTTAAAGTTTTTATTATTATAAATTTAAAATTACTTTGTTATTTTTATTAATTACAAATTATTTTGTATTTATAGGTGAAAAGTACGCTTAACACTTTGTAACACTTTGTAATTTTTTAAATTTGTAAATAAAGCTGAAATATATTTAGTTTTGTGGTTGTTTTTTTTTAAGCATATATTTGATTTTTACATTTATAAGTTGTATGTTTCTTAATTTGAATATTTTTTTTATATACTTACAGTCTTAATTTGAATATTTCTTTTATATACTTACAGTCAACGCCAAAAAAACTGGCTAAGAAATTTTTTTTTTTTACAAACTCTGAAGTAAATTTAAAAAAAAAACATTCAATGAGTGATTTTATTTAAGGTATCAATATATAAAAATCATGTATATACAAGTATTATTAAATTTATTAAGGTGTGACCAAACTATATATAGTACAAAATAATTGTTGGCAGAGTTGTTTTATTGTATTATTATCTTGATTGAGTTATTTTCTTCTGAACACACTCTCTTAAATTAGTACTTTGTCATAGCAACTTTTGAAGCGAGGGCTACTTCAATTCTCTGAGACATACTATCAACAAACCTTGTTAATAATTATAGGTCTAAGCTATTCCATACCTCTTGAAATCAAAAAAACTTGTTTCATCATTGCATATTTTTTTTTTAATTTTATCTTTGAGTATTGACTATAAGTTTTCAATTGGATTTAGGTCGGATGATTGACTAGGCCACAAGTCCTATGTAAGCATGTTTTTTTTTAACATATATTTATTTAGTTTTGTTGTGTGCTTAGGATTATTTTCTTGTTGAAATCTTGAAAGTTATTATCTCGAAATAATTCCATGAAACTTGGCTTTGCATGATAAACAAGGATCCTATGGTATTGGTATTGATCCATAATGCTTTTAATCTTGTGAATCTTTCCCATAGCATGCGCTGCAAAACATTCCCTATATGTTTATCTTCTTTTGATGTTTAACAGTGAATTTAATACACCCAGGATGATACTTTTCATTACTACGTCTCCAAAAATGAAATTTTTGAGTGCATTTAAAACCAAAAGGAGACTAATCTGACAAAACAACTCTTCTCCATTGGGCAATAGTCCAGTCTTTATGTGCACTGCACCATTGGAGCAAATGCGCAATGTTAACTTTTGATAGAAGAGGCTTCCTGACAGCCCAATTAGAGTCTAGCACTCATGTAAATGACGATATAATATAATTACAGTTTTTCCAGAAATGTTGGTAATACCAGTTTCCACTTCTATTTCACTAGCAGAAATGTGACAATTTTTAAAGGCAGCTTGGACAATACACCTATCTTCTCTTTTTCTAATTTTTTTTGCTTTCTTCCTGAACCAGAATGACAGGCTGTTTCTCCTTATACTTTTTCAGAAAATCAGTAATCATACTTTTTCCACATCCAATCTTAAGTGCAATATCTCTATGAGTCCAAATGATGACAATAATTCTTTCTTTATTGACATAATTAAGGATCATTTATATATATATATATATATATATATATATATATATATATATATATATATATATATATATATATATATATATATATATATATATATATATATAAAGAAAGAATTATTGTCATATATATATATATATATGACAATAATTCTTTCTTTATTGACATCATTAAGGATCATTTATATATATATATATATATATATATATATATATATATATATATATATATATATATATATATATATATATATATATATATATATAAAGAAAGAATTATTGTCATATATATATATGACAATAATTCTTTCTTTATTGACATCATTAAGGATCATTTATATATATATATATATATATATATATATATATATATATATATATATATAAAGAAAGAATTATTGTCATATATATATATGACAATAATTCTTTCTTTATTGACATCATTAAGGATCATTTATATATATATATATATATATATATATATATATATATATATATATATATATATATATATATATATATATATATATATATATATATATATATAAAGAAAGAATTATTGTCATATATATATATATGACAATAATTCTTTCTTTATTGACATCATTAAGAATCATTTATATATATATATATATATATATATATATATATATATATATATATATATATATATATATATATATATATATATATATATATAAAGAAAGAATTATTGTCATATATATATATATGACAATAATTCTTTCTTTATTGACATCATTAAGGATCATTTATATATATATATATATATATATATATATATATATATATATATTTTTTTTTTTTTTTTATTTTAATTCACCTCCTCAAGGCCGAGAAGGCCACTACAGACAAGGAGGCTACTTATTTGTGGCTATAACCCTCTCTCAACTCTATAACTTCGAAACACAAACCTTGACGAACAAGGCTGCTGCGCGGAGAAACGAGTTTAGCGCGGTACTACCAGGGACGTGGTGGGGATCGAACTCGGAACCACTCGTTTATAAAGCGAGCGCTCTACCACTACACCACTACCGCATTGAATATATATATATATATATATATATATTGCATTGAATATATATATATATATATATATATATATATATATATATATATATATATATATATATATATATATATACATATATATATAAATGTATACACACACAGTATTTTATATATCTAATCTAAAATGTAATAAATTAGCATTATGAATACATATCAGGTTTTGTATATATGCAAGCTTAGGATTTGATTAATCCTGTCTATATATAGTTTATATTTCTATTATTTATTTTAATTTCCATTTTATTAAAAAATCTTATTGAGTTTTTCTTATTGAGAACCATGAAAAGTCATAAAAAGATTTAATATGAAATTCAATAAAAAATACAATATCTGAAACAAAAATAAACAATAATTATTAAAAAAGCGGAGATATGGGTTTAGACCTCTGTTTTTGAAATGTTTTGAAAACCCAAAAAAATCGTCTTAGTATTTGTTCTTGTGTGACTACACAAGAACAAATACTAACTACAAGTTATTATTTTATTGTAAAGATTATTTTTATATTTAGCTAATTATAAATGCAGGTTGAAGAATGTTTTAACTTAGAAAAATATCGTGTTCTTAAGGTATTTTATATATTATATTGTTTTATATATTTAGTTTTAATCAAAATTGAAAAAAAATTTAGTTTTAATTAAAGTTGAAAAAACATTCATTTTGAAAATGAACAAGTTTTTAGTTCATTTATTAATGAACAAGTTTTTAGTTCATTTTAAAAATAAATGAGTTCATTTTAAAAATAAAATTAGTGCTTCATATACTAAATTTATATGTGAAAGTAACTTTATTTATATGTGAGAGATTAGATGATCAAGTGAAAGTAACTTATAATAAACAATTAAGAATAACTTAAGATGAACAACTAAAAGTAACTTAAGATGATCAAGTGAAAGTAACTTAAGTTAAACAAGTGAAAGTAACTTAAGATGATCAAGTAAGAGTGATTTAAGATGAACAAGTGAGAGTAACTTATAATAAACAAGTGAGAATAACTTAAGATGAACAAGTAAATGTAACTTAAGTTAAACAACTAAAAGTAACTTAAGATGATCAAATGAAAGTAACTTAAGTTGAACAAGTGAAAGTAACTTAAGATGATCAAGTAAGAGTGATTTAAGATAAACAAGTGAGAGTAACTTATAATAAACAAGTGAGAATAACTTAAGATGAACAAGTAAATGTAATTTAAGTTAAACAACTAAAAGTAACTTAAGATGATCAAATGAAAGTAACTTAAGTTGAACAAGTGAAAGTAACTTAAGATGATCAAGTAAGAGTGATTTAAGATGAACAAGTGAGAGTAACTTATAATAAACAAGTGAGAGTAACTTAAGATGAACAAGTGAGAGTAGCTTAAGATAAACAAGTGAAAGTAACTTAAAATGAACAAGTGAAAGAAATTTAAGATGAACAAGTGAAACTTAAGATGAACAAGTGAATGAAATGTAAGATGAACAAGTGAAAGAAACTTAAGATAAACAAGTGAAGTGAAGTGAAGTAACTTGAATTGAACAAATGAAAGTACTTAAGATGAGCAAGTGAAAGTAACTTAAGATAAACAAATGAGATTAACTTAAGATGAACAAGTAGGCATAGTAGTGCAATGTATTTAATCAAAAACTGTTTTATTTTATTTATTTTTTAGGCTCCTAGCAGTGCCTTTTATATCCCAAATTTCTTGACACCAGAAGATGAAGATAGTCTTTTAAGCAAAGTAGCAATTTTTTATTTTTTTTATTTTCATAAAAAACTATTCAAAGATGTTATTTTATATTACAGGAGTTATTTTCTTTATATATATATATATATATATATATATATATATATATATATATATATATATATATATATATATATATATATATATATATATACAGGAGTGTTTTTTTTTTACATTTTATATAGAGGAGTGTTTTTTTTTTTTAAATTCAAAAACTTTTTAAAAAAAACATTTAATATGAATATGTGTTAGAGCCTTTACAACAATTTTAACTTAAATGTGTAAAGAATATTTTTGTATACATACAATTATCTTTGCAACTGAGTAGTTTTGCATGAAATGTCATTGACAGTCTCATATTGAAACAGCCCTCTGTGAGGGTTTCAGTGTATACATCAGCTGAGGTTTTAGGTTTTGGCAGTTACTATCTAGATATCAAGGAATTTTATTATAGCTAAAAAAAATTAATTTTTTTTTTTTTTTTTTTTCTGAAAAACTGGAATTATGTTGATATTTTAAATCGTTTTTTTTTCTTTTTACATTTACAGGTTATTGAAAATTTGAAAATATAAAAAAAACAATTGGAAATATAAACAGCTTGATCTAAACAAATACAATAAAATATATTTTACAATAAAATCAGTATTATATCTTTCTATTTCTTATCTTATTAACATGTCTTCAAATGTATTTTACAATAAAATCAGTATTATATCTTTCTATTTCTTATCTTATTCACATGTCTTCTTATTTGTATCTTTCATAGTTCAGCATATTTCTTGGATCATAACTTTACGCTGTACATAAACAAAAAAAATTTTTACAATGTATATATTAAATTACAAAATTATTACTTATTAAGGATTACATATACAACCCTCGAAATTAGGGTCAGCAAATTTGGCAATGCTGACCTAACTGCCGACCTAAAAATGTTTGCGGTCGGCAAAAAATTGCCGACCTCATTTCAATGTTTTATGGTAAGATCTTTGTATCAATTTTTTTTGGTGACCTCTAAACGATTGAGGTTGGCAAATTATTACCCTCCTCAATTTTTCTATTTTCGAGGGTTTGTTACGAAGATCTCAAACAAAACTACTCAAACGGAACACTGAAGTTCAACGAAGCGTATAGCGTTTGGATATCAACCAACATTTGTTTATCAACCAAACTGTTTACTAACCGTAGCCGTGCCTAGCGTCTGCTGAAGATATAAAAACGCAAAGAAGACGAGATATGTGTATGTGTATGGGATATACAAGGTCGACCTTGTATATCCCGACCTTGTATGGGATATACAAGGTCGGGGTTGAAGTAGATGGTCATCCAGAAGAGTTAGTGAAGCAATAGCAGACTAATTAATTAAAAGACGAACTATTTAAGAGAATAATATTAATTGTAGTTATATATATTTGATTATTTATATTTGGGTAAACGAGACAAAGTTGTTTATTTGAATAGTTACTTTATAACACTTTGGAGTAAACCTATAACGTATAACCACGCGAGTAATCTATTACGTAACATTTAAGGGCACTGCCCAGATACAAATAGGTTCTACCTCTGCTTGGGCTGATCAATTTACCTACATAAGTAAAGATTAACTTTTGTTTATCTTGTTATTGTTACTCACGCTAGATTACTTGAACAGAGCCGTAGCTATATTGACTTTGATGTTTACTTATGAGCCGTTTACGCTCAGGGAAAATTTGTCCGTTTACTGAAACAACTCATTGCGGTGATACAGACAATAATTCTCACACCTCTCTCAACGACTCCTCCTCCGATTCTAGCGACTCCTTAAAACTGTCAGACACCAACTCGTTTAAAACCAAAACCAGTCGTTCTCCAACAAATCCTGAAGTGAAGAATAACATGTCACTTGAGCAAATTTTAGAACGTTTGGCATTAAAACCGAGCCAAGAACTACATCCGAAAGTTTTCAGGGGTACAGAAGTGGAAGACATTACTAAATGGCTAGCCAGCTTTCGGCGTATTGCGTTGCACAATCAATGGACAGAGGAATAGAAATTACTAGCGTTTCCACTTTATTTAGAAGGCAGCGCTCTACTTTATTATGAGACACTTCCTGCACTTGCTAGAAACGATTACCACGAACTCCAAGAGAAATTCCGGCGACATTACGATAATGCAAATATTGCGTGGAACCGGAAAATGGAACTGTTTAGCTTGTCACAGGATACCGATCTCACCTCCTACACCAACACCCTCGATAAACTTAGTCAGCAGTTAGGCATCGATGACGAAACAAAGTTAAGCCTATTCATTAAAGGACTAAAGCCCCACCTGCAGGATGCTCTTTAGTTAAAGCAACCGTCTGATTATCAAGCCGCAGTAGCTTTTGCTAAGCTCCAAGACTCAATCATATCGGATTCAGTTATATCTCGATTGGAAGCCAAGCTAGATGCACTTCTTAATCCCCCAAAGCAAACAGTTGTGGCTTCTACCTACCGCAAACATCCAAACTTAAACCAACATATTAGTGAACTGCAATCAGAAATAGACTTATTAAGACAGAACAATAACCGTCTCTCCCAGAACGAAAGATTTCGTCCAACTGGCCACAACTTACGTACCAGTGATGGGCAAGTTATCAATTACCGATGCCTAAAAGAAGGGCACACCCAAAGGTCGTGCTCCGGCCGAACTTTACCGCTATCAGAGAAAATGTATTATCAACATATACCGTCGCAACCTAACCGCTGGAACCATGATGCATGAAAATGGACTTCATTTTGCAATAGGGTAGTCTCCGAATAAACAATTTCGAAATAATGTACCAAGAAACAGTCCACATACAGGTAGCCGAGTTCCTGCACATTACACTCTTGAATCGGATCTAGAAGAGGATCCTGGTTCTGAGATATGGGGAAAGGTGTATAATCTAAAAGTACTCATTTTAATGGACACTGGTGCAAGATGTAGCGTTTTGGATAAAACCATTTTTTTTTTAAATTAAAAAACAGGTTGGGGAACCACTACCCCAACTACACTATGGTACTCTGAGAGCAGCTAATGGAACGCCACTTCATATACTTGGAAAAACGTTATGCCCCATTGAAATTGGAAATAGTATATTTGAACATGAAATACTAATATATTTGAAATAAATACTAAATATAAATAATAAAAGAGTTAACCCATCCAGTGATTTTAGGGTATGATTTTATGAGTAATTTTAACGTTGGGCTGGACTGTGGAAACCATTTAGTTACATTTGAAGAAAAATTTAATGTACCTATGATCCTGAAACATATCAACAATAAATTTTCCACAGGAGATTTTAATGAATATACGTCGATTTGCCATAAAGCACGAATTAGTAAATTTGATGATAGGTGGGTAGTGGAACCCAAAACTAAAGTTGACGACTATTTCCTTAGCAACCAGCCTAAATTTGTCGAATCCAATAGAAACACACTACAACAAATGAATCCAACACCAATATCCGTCACGCATGAAGTTATACCAACTCATCCGCTACAAAAGGACCAGGTTCCTGTAAGCAGCATAGGAATAGTTGACATACCTCAAGACACCGATATAACGCTTTTACAAGAGTTACCAAAGAAGAATCCCGTAGAGCTTGCTCCGGTACGCGTTACAAATGTCTCCGGTATGCGTTACAAATGAGATGAAGGCTGTACCTAATTCCAAAACTATTCTTACCTTAGCGCATGCTTCGCAACCTAGAGTCAACTGTCTATTCATACCAGAGACAACTCTATTTGAGGACCAAAATATTCATATTTTCCCTACCATAACACAAGGTGGAACTAACCAAGTTAAGTTACATGTGGTGAATTCGTCCCCAAACTATATAACCTTTAATAGAAATCAAGTGATTGGGGTTGTTATCCCGTTACCCACCAAAGCACTGAGAAATATGGCACAAATTGCCCTGTTGAATTGATGAACCTTTAGAATTAAAGACCAACACCGCCGCGTTAAATTCAGAAGAACGTCTTCAACTATTGACCTTGCTGAAATGCAACAAATATGTTTTTGGTCAAGGGTTACACGAAATTGGACATACTGTACTGATGTGATAGGTCATTACATTGGCACTGGCGTTGCACGACCGATTAGACAAAGAGCTTATCCTCTGGCAGACTCTCAAAGAAAATCGCTGGACAAACATATAGAAGAGATGTTAACAAACGATATCATTGAACCAAGTATCAGTCCCTGGTCAAGTCCAGTAGTCATGGTTCCAAAAAAGGATGGAACTTTCAGAGTATGTGTCGATTATCGAAAGTTATATACCGTAACAAAGAAGGATACCTACCCACTTCCACGAATAGATGAAAGTCTGGACATGTTATATGGGGCGAAGTACTTTTCTTCTTTGGATCTTTTAAGCGGATACTATCAGGTGCAACTCGATGAAGAGTCTAAAGAGAAAACTGCGTTTATCTCTCATAAAGGACTATATCAGTTTAAAGTCCTTCCTTTTGGGCTCTCTAATGCACCGTCAACGTTCCAACGAATGATTAACCATGTGCAAGTGGCGAAGCGCTAGGATACGTTTTATCACAATATCAGGAAGACCTTGAAAAAGTCATTCTCTATGGCGGAAGGAACTTCACAAGCACTGAAAATAAATACTCCACAACCGAACGCGAGGCTTTAGCTGTGGTTATTGCAATACAGAAATGTAGACCTTATGTTTACGGACAAAAGTTTAAGGTTATAACAGATCACAATTCACTAAAATGGTTAATGTCTATCAAAGATCCAACTGGTCGACTTGCACGATGGATTTTAATGTTGCAAGGTTACAACTTCAAAATAGAGTACCGATCAGGGAAAATGCATAGTAACGCTGACGGACTTTCCAGACGGAATTATGACACAGTCGCAACATTGACAGTACCAGGAAGACCAGCTGACCAAGTTGTAAAAGAAATACCTAACGATCCCTATTATGCTAGCCTAGTGTTATATCTAGCCAACAAAGAACTCCCCGAAGA